CACCCATAGTTTTAATACAAAATAAAAAATTCATAATTTTATATGTAACTTATAATTTATTGGATTAAATTTCATTATTGTGGAGGTGAATTTTAACCCTATAAAAAGAAGGGGATATAATATTGTTTGGCATAACTTTGAAAACACAATTAGAAATAATATCTTCATTCTTTATCTTTCAATGGTCGTGCTCACAGAAGAAAAATTGACTGTGAACTATGAGGATTTTATTTTGAAGTTGTAAGGTGTCAGAAATATTCGTACGAGTCGACTTTAGGAGAATGTCTTTAACATGATTCTTTAAAGATTTACTTTCTGAACTTTAATATATTTCTTTACATTATTTCATTTTCGAATTAAATTAACTATTTTATTGTGTTAATTATGAAATCCATACATAAATCGTGTTTTTCTCGTACCATTTAAAGTCATGTGATGTGATTTGTGTGTATGTGGTAGTTTTATGATCTCCACCTACTAAAATTGGAAAATTTCTTATTCTCATGATTAATTTTAGAAATTTAGGTATTGTAAAATTCAAGACCGAAAGTTATATGGTCCAGTCATTTTTATCATCAGATTTGGGTTCTAGATGATCTTGAAACTCGTTGACAAGAATTTCATTATGTAACTACATTACGTAAAAGTAGCACTGTTTTATAAAAAATTGCCTTGATTGAGTTTAAAGTATTCAGTAATTGAGCCACCTTTATTAATTAAGATCTTCAGAGCATAATTTGTTCTATGAAATGTTTATAAAAAATGTTTAATGTACAGTCAAAATTGTACAGCAATTTTGACAGCCATCTCCCATGGGTGGAGCCCAAGATTATTTTAATCGTGGACCCCACCAAATGTATGTGAGAGTGCTGTCAAAATTAATGTCAAAATTGATGTAACTCTAGCAGTTCTCAATGTTTATTGCTAGTTTTCAGTAAGAAATTGAAAATGAACATGGCAAGTCTTATTCTTAAGATTCATTATGCTCTATTATGCATAAGTGGGCAATTTGCCCCAGCCAGTTGGGGTGGTTTTCTAGAATGTAGAGTGTTTGTTGGCATATTTATTGATAGGTATACTACTCGATCAATGCATGTTGCGTAAGAAGAACAAGTCTTGAAATCTATACCAGAGCACTAAATTTCCTTAGCAGATTTCTCATATTCCTCCTTGACATAACCACTTTGAGTGAAAAAATATGTCTATAGTAAAATTCTAGTTTGTCGTCGTTTGATGAGTTTAAAAATCAGTTGACCTTGTTTGAGCCCCCTTTTATAAAAATTCATTTTTCCTCGAGGGTTTTATTTTTGAGTCGTATAGTGCTGAAAATACCTTCATAAAAGGGAGATGACACGACTTTATGACAACGTCTTTGACGTGATTCTTTAAAGACTCGCTTTCTAAAATTTAATATATTTCTTTTTTTTTTTGGAATTATATTTATTATTTTGTTATTAATTACCTTTTTCTCTGACAATATAAAGAATCAACTGCAACCTTTGCCATTTTTCTTGGTTAATAAGAACCTTAGCCTATGAGCGACGAACGAGCATCTTTTAACTCTTGTTAGATTCCCATTCTATCAAAATTTATTTTTCAACCATGTATTCTCAAAATAAAGTATTTTGTACGTAAAGTCAGAACTTTTTCCTACTTCTTAACTACAATCTTTTTAAAAATTTACTATTGCAGAACTTATTTTGATGAAATAATAGACATCGAACAGGAGCTTAACGTTAGGAGGACTTGGTCCAAATGAACTTTCGAAAAATTGAATTAAGGAAAACTTTTTATTAACTTTTTAAAAAGTATCAATAGATAGTGGAGGTTGTCGACATAATTTGTTCTAAAGTTGAACAAAATAGTGTTACAATTATTATCATTCGGTTTTTAAAGTAACTTGGGTAAAAAATAATCAAAATCCTTAGACGTTTAATTGCCAACTCACATATAACTTTAACACCTAAGCAAATATAAACGTCAACAACCCAACCCCACTCCCCCACCCACTCAGTGCGAACTCACCATCTTCCCCAAGAATCTACTAGATAACTATGACCTTCTAGACAAGTCCATTCAAAGGAGCGTGTTTGGCTAAGCTTAAAAA